GGGGTCCAGAACGCAGGAGCGAAGATATATCACGTTGTCGGCCGACATACCATTCTTTTGCGGCACCACCGTGCCGACACTACGCACAGGATTCACAAATTAAGGAGCGCCAAAGTCCGCGGCATGCCGTAGGTATGGCGCTATCGCGCTTCATAAAACTTCGTTAGCAACCTGCAAGTAGACGGCTACTCCAACGGTACGACCCCTACCTATATACCTGACTATATACATTTCTATATACATATTATGTATGTATAATATAAAGGATGATTATATATATATATATATTCTTGGAACTGGGACAGCCTACTGTTCTTTATTAAATACAATTAAATATAATCTTATGATATAATCAAGTTTTAACTTGTTGTTCTTTTACTTATTATATGGGTGCACAGGTGCAACTTTGTTGTCGATTGCAATTATTCTTTAATGTAATTTAATCCTTTTGTTTTATACTACGTATTGAAGTATTAACCCAATATCATTGATATTTTAATACATGGTGAGATATTTGATATTCTATATTGTTTGAGCATGCTTTTAATACGGATTTACATTTTAATAACTTTAAATTAGTAATTTTACACGTTGAATAAAAATAAATCGATTAGTTTTTCAAAAAAAAAGGTAAAGGGTTGCATTAAAGAATAAAGTGCAATTGAAACCTGTGACAGAACATAAGGTCATAGAAATTTAAAACGTATTATGCCTTTTTCAGTTCAAAGTATCACCTTGAATGTATCTTTAATTATAACGATAGAAAAAATCTAAATATTGAAAAGAATATATTTTATTTTATAAAATATTAATATCATTTATATTACAAAAAATGGGTGAATAATTTACAAAATTAATTTAACCTATTTATAATTAATCCACTGTCATAATTATCATATATGTATTTATGTTTAATATGAACGTTGCAGAATACTGGACAATGACAAAACCACCATAAAAAAGAAAATTTAAAAAAAAACAAAATGAATTTCATGTAACATTTTCATGAGATCTTCGTATCTTTCGAGTAAGTTCGCATTAGTCTGATTATCCTCAACGGCCTGTTCTCGTGGTTCGTGAGTTTTTTCCTATTTCTTAGTCTGCGTTTCCGGTGTTGTATGTTCCAACATCATACTACTCACATCAGAGAGAATGAGAGATGAAGAGAAAGAGAAAGAGAGAGAGAGAGGGACTGGGTTGTTGGGATGCTGAGACCACCGTCTTTCTTAATCGGCCGTAATTAGTGTACTCCCAACGACAACACGGTTGTGTACTCGTTAAGACTCGCGGGTGAGGCTTTGATGCATTCGAGTTGTTACCTTGAGATTGTACTATGCGTTGTTTCATTTTCTTTTTTCCTTTCCTTTCCTTTTTCTTTCTATCTATCTCTTTTCAACATGATCCGTCTTTCATTTTCAACATAGTATCGTACACGTTCGATCGAAATATTCGCGATTATCTTGGTTAGGAATTTTTAATCGAAAAGTTTGTTCTTTTTTAAATTATTTATTATATTTTTTCAATATTCAACTGATATATTCAATTATCATCTGAATTTTATTCCTAACGTAAATAGTTATTATTTATTATTTAATTAGAAATTAAATCATACTTAACATAATCAATTGATCATACTTATACCAAATGAAATAATTGTAGATACAAATATCTGAATTTAAAAGCATCATGAATTATATTTCAATTGTTTCTCATGAACTATAGTTCAATCAATTCTATAGCAAAGGGGTTGTCCCGTTCGTCGAAGCCAGGATATTGGCGCCACGTGGCTCTAATATCACCAGAACATCGTATATCCTCTCTCGATGGGCGACGCTCGTTAATTTACCGTAAAGATACACCGTAACGGTGAACAGAGGGCAAAAGTCATATAACACAAGGCAAAGACGACCATTCTACAATACATTGGGGAGGGTTTTACTCACAAATACTAATTACATATGTATATGTTACTATTAAAATATCTAAATCAGTTAATTTATGAAATAACTAACTAATATGATATTACATAAAATAACTAGGCATTTAATGAATAATTTAATGGTATAGAAAGTAAATTAAAAATAATGTTATAATACATGTTCAATTTTTCAATAGATCGAGTATTGTTATTTCATGTAATAGCTGGTTATTTCATGAAATAATTAATTTGATAAAATAACGATAATTTACTGTTCTTTATTAAATAAAAATAAACGTAAATGATAAAAGAAAACATCTGCATTTTGTTCACCGTTATAATTACAGGTGCATTACAAAGTGATACTTAAAACCGGAACAGGTATAACTTCTTGTAATTTTATTTTTTATGTCAGTGCACCGATGCACTCGCCAGATACAATTGTATTTTAATTTTTTATTGCAACTAAATATTTCTTTTTTTAACCAATTGTCCTACCCTTGCATTCCTTTCCCTTCAATGCAAGTATTGAAACAAAATCGAAAAATCTTTTTTTTTTGTTTACTTCAGGATCAAATTTCAATTTCTTACTTTAAGCAACCAGGTCACTGGTAAATTCACGCGTATTACCTAGTTAAAGTATATAATTCTTCCTTGTGTAATATTTAGACAGATATCAGTACAGTTATTTCATAATTTAGTTGATCATTTTAGAAAATAACAACGCAACATATTATCAACATAAATAAATTTACAAAAAGAAACAAAGGAAGAGTAAAAGAAAAAAAGAAAATGTTGAAGCACAAAAAGAAACAAAAAAAAAAACAAGAAAGAAAGAAATGGAGGAACAGAAAAAAGGCGAAACCAACAAACAAACAAAAAATATAGGAACAGAAAGAAAGAGAACGAAAGAGGAGAAAAAAAGAGATAGAAAGAGAGAGAGAGAGAGAGAGAGAGAGAGAGAGAGAGAGAGAGAGTGCTCGCGCGCGCGAGATTCTCGTCATTAGGGGTACGTAGCCTCGTTAGGATGAGTTTTTCCAGCGCTAATGAGCTTGCCTGCAGGTTGTCTCCATCGTTGCAGAGGGTCCGAACGTAGTATAGTATTAGCGAGCATGCGCCACAGCATGCGCCACAGCACACGCCGCGTAGCTCTGGACCCTTCCTTCCTTCCTTCCTTCCGTCCTTCCTATGACGCCCCCGCATGAATCTGGAGAGAAAGAGGAACAGTAAGAGAGAATAAAAGGGATAAAGAAAAAAAAAGATATAGAGCAGGACACACTCGTTTTAATCTAGCCTTGGACGTTGCTCCCATTCTCCCTGGTCGTCGTTTCCCGTCCGTCGTTCCCGTCCGTCGTTCCCGTCCGTCGTTCCCGTCCGTCGTTCCCGTCCGTCGTTCCCGTCCGTCGTTCCGACTTTGCGAAAATGAAAACGCATGTCTCCGTGGCTTTAACCCCTCGACTAGAGTACCTCTCGTCTTTCCACACTACGCATTACGTTTCTTCGTTACTTTCCACACACGCGCCTATCATTTTCCACGTTAGGATAATAAGAGTAGTTGTGTTGTTCATATTAGAAGGGAAGAAGAAGAATATTTATCTTAATTAACAGATTTTCTCTCATCTTTTTCAACTTTATCTTTTTATTTTTGTTTGTTCGTTTGTTTGTTGTTATTAGTAATGTGTGTAACTTGTCCGGTATTATTTGATTTACGTTTGTTTCCTATTTTATTCAATTGTTAAGAGACTTGGTATTTCATATTGGTTCAATTTTCTAGATTTTTTTTTTAGAAAATATTTATATTAATTATCATTTTGTCTCTTTTTTTTTTTATATTTCTTTCTTCTTTGTTTTTTATGAATAACGTGGCATGCTTATTTCTTTTGCGACATTACTTAATTAGTGTGGTTTTTTAGTTTGGTATTAAATTTGACTGAAGTTTGATATTCAAAATGTAAGCAGCATTTGTAATTAATTTTGAAATATTTGTATCTTAATTAACAGAATTTTTTCAAGTCTTGTTCAGTTTTTATTCGATTTATAAAAAATTAGGCTGATATTTAATATTAGATCAGTATTTTTTAACATCAATGAAATTTTCAATATTTTTACTCAATTTATAAAAATTATAATATTACAGTGTTTAACAGTATTTTACGCGTTCATTTACAGTTCCTTATTCAGATACTTAAATTATATTACAGGTCGTTTGAGCATCTCTACGATCCAATTTAAATTCATACAACAAAATTATTCAAATTAGGTACTTTTCTATCTGAAATTCAATAGCCTGAAGTTAGCACAAATTAACAGTAAAAACAAAAAAAATATCTACCACCACACAAACAATTGCATTTTTGTTTTAAAAGTATAAACAAAATAAAATAAATTATTATTTAATTTTTCCAACAAGTTTTAATAATTTACTTTTATTCAATTTAAACAAATTTTCCTATGATCAAACGGAAAATTTACTCGAATTAAGAGTAATTTGAGCTTGGTCAAATTCGAATTTTGGCTTGTTCGAGAAACTGCAATATTTTTATTTTTTTTTTTTTTTATATCTTTTACTCTCTCTCTCTTTTTTTCACTCCAACTTCCCTATTCCTTTTTTAACCCCATCCCATCTTTTACCAAGCAACGATTTCTTTTGCTTCTCTCATTCCTGTGTCTTATTTAACACCGTAATCGAGTCCTCTGAAAGTGGCTTAAACCGAGTGGCATACGACGTCGCCATTCATCCCGGTCGTCGTATGCTCGACGTGGTTAATTCGCAAATATTTCAGCGTGTCTCTTATGTCCCTTTCTGAAAATACGCTACAGCTGCTCGAGTCTTGTCTACAAGTCCGTTCGGGCCACCGACGCGGCGGACATTTTCTTTTTTTCTTTTTCGACTTTTCGACTTTCAGAAATTTCGCCAAAAATTCCTCGAATAAGCGCGCGTTCAACTTGTTATACACTTTCAATGTATTAGCAGTATAACACACGTATACGTTTTGAATCATCTTTTACGGTGAGGTCACATTTATCTCTAGCACGGACCAACCACGATTCTAATCCTTTTCCCTCATTATCTTTGTTACAGACGGCTTTGCATTGGGCTGCGAAACATGGCGACGAGAACATCGTCAAAATGATTGCTGGCACCTACAGGGAATACGTCAAGGACGTTAACGTTACAACCGTGAGTTACTTTTATAATTATTAAATGTAGTAATTAATTCGGTGACTTTTATATTACGTAAATATATATATATTTTTTTTATTTATTTATAAATTTATTATACAAGTGTTATACTTTGAAACTGTTCAAATTATTCTCTAATGACTTTGACACATCTTTTTTTGCAGTCAACTGACAAGTTTCTTGACGAATAAAAAAGATGAAATATATTTAATATTATGACACTGCAAATTAATTGCTACAACTAATATAATATGTTATATAATAATTATACAGTAGAGTATCGATTACGTCAACTATTTGAAAAAAAAAAAATTGTTTTGAATCATTGGTCTGAAAAAATCAACGATTGTAAATGAATGGCTCATATAATCATTTTTTTTTTTAATCAATTTTAATAAGAATGTTTTATACTAATAAAATTTGTATGTTTTTTTTTTCTGTTCTCGGTGATTCATCGTATTGCAGAATGGGGTAAGTTATTTGCAAAAAGTTAACTATACTTTAAATCATAATTTCACATATCTTATAATTGCATACATGTAAGTACCTATACATTTACCAATATCTCATATTTCTATGCTAAACTACAATTACAAATTCGATATGATAATTTTGATAAATATGCTTCTGAAATTTTTTTCTTCAATTATCTCGTTGCAAAGAAAAAATCTTCAGATAAAATTATAATTAATATAGTTTAATTTCATACTAAATAATATTGATTAAAATTATTACACTAAAAGATTACATGACAAAAATATACGAATTCATAGTAAAATAAAATGACTGATAAGAAAATTAATAACAAATTCTCGAATGTAAATTTAATGTTACGTATAAATTCTGCAAAATTTATTTATAAAGACATCTAACACGTGACGTTAGGGTGAAACAAAAGTACAAAGAAAAATATAGGAGAAAGAGAGAGAGAAGAAATACACAACTACCCCCCTCCCCTCCTCTAAAAAAAAAATAAGAAATAAAGAATAAGAGAGTTTGTCGACGTTACTGTAAAGAAAGAAGGAAGAAAGGAAGGAAAGGAAAGAAGAAAGGAAGGAAGGAAGGAAAGAGAAGTAAAAGTAAGAGAAGAGCACAGAGGATCCGCAGATAGGATCAGATGTGTGTGGTCCACCGCTTTGCTCTTTATAAGACTTATGTAAGCCAGGATGCGCAAGGGCCAAGAAAGAGAAAGAAGTACTTACTGTGACCATGAGTGTAAAAGAGAAAGAGAAAGAAAGAACGGTCCATGCTCGTTAGCGGCTCGCGANGGGCTGCTGCCGCCGCCATAGGTAGTAGGTAGATAGGTAGGTACGTAGGTACACCCCCAGTCAAAAAGATACCATACATATCTTATTGATGGATCTACAATTCTGTATCTGTAACTAATGATAATATTATGAGCTCAGGTTACAAGATTTATTGGAAAGAAATTGCAACAATGCAAGGTTGTATTTTGTAGAAGAAATACAAATTGTTTTATACTAAGAAACAATTGTGTATTTGTAATAAATTATAATAGTAGGATTATAGTGGCATGTAGCTTGCTAGTCTTACTGGTAGTAAGTTGCAACAATGTTGGGTTGTATTTTATAGAAGAAACAAGAAACAATTGTGTATCTGTAACAAATAATAATAGTAAAATTATATAGCATAGGTTGTTAACATTATTGGAAACAATTGTAACAATATTGGGTTACTTTTTTTTTGCACAAGAAGCAATTGTGTATCTATAATAAATAATAGTAAGATTATATATAGCACTGATTGTTAACTTTATTGGAAAAAACTTGCAACATTGCAGTGTTGCTTTCTTTTGTAGAAAAGAAACAGATTTTGGTATAATTTAATAAAACTTAAATTACTCAAAGAACATTCTCAACATTATACAATTACTCAATAACTCAATTTAATTGATACACATAAAAATAAAACAATACATCTATAAAAATTCATGAACCCCAATAAAACAATATCAATACTCATTCCAATATTCTTACATTACTACAGCTATTTCTTCTAATAAAAAGATATTCTTAAGATCAAAGATTATCTTATTAACTTATCTAGGTAGCGAAGAAAGAGCACGGAGGTAGCACTCGTCCAATCGAATGCAGAACGATCTCTCAACGAATGGCAAAGCCATTTGTTTTGCACGCGTAAGTTAAACGACCATGCCGACACCCGCACAGCGCACCTCCTCCTCCTCCTGTCCCCTTTTCTTCTTCTTCTTCCTCCTCCTCCTCCTCCTCCTCCTCCTCCTCCTTCTTCATGCTCGTTTTTTTCTTCTTCCTTTTCTTCTTCTTCTTCTTCTTCTTCTTCGTCCTCCATTTAACGTCTTTGGGTTCTCGGTCAAGGCACACGCTCGCCTCTCATGTAAATCGGCTAATTCCATCGGCGTACATTAATTATCTCGTTACTTATACACACTCACGTATATATTTAAACGAACAGGAACATGTGTGTGTGTGTGTGTGTGTGTGTATGTATCAAGAGTTTTACCTCGACTTTTCGATCGAACAGAGAGTGGGGAGGGAGGCTGCATTCTCAGTGCCCAATTATCCGATGGAAGGAGAAATCTTTTTTACCAAGACTGTGTGTGTGTGTATTAACTCCTCTTATTCTTTATTTCTTCTTTCTATGTATATACATATGTGTGTATACATTTATCTATCTATCTCTTTCACTCACAATTTCATTTCTTTTTCTTTACTCTCTACTTTCACGATGTAAAATAATGCTAATGGTACTTGCAAAATAGCATGACCAATTTGTTGGAACATAATCGTACCTAACCTCGAATACATCGCTACGAAACATGTTTCAAAGATGAGTTAAAGACTAGTTTTCTGTCATTCTAATTAGAGCGTTGGAAAAAATGTTTCAACTCACAATGCTGCCAGCATAAATGTTATGTTAGCCATTAAGTACGTTGGTTATTTTTTTTTTATTCGTCTGCTTAATACTTGTCCCAAAAAATGAATAATTTTTCAATTTGGGTAATCTGTTTATTCAAAAAGGTTTCATGATTTCATGCAGCCAATTTTTTTTCAATTATAAAATAAGACAATTGACTTTCACGTTAAACAAGAAATTTAATGATTTTTACGTTAGATTATAAAAATTCTTTCTATACAGTACAATTAAATTTAAAAAACAATGTACTGACATATTATTCCCTCACATTTTATATTAGTTTCTGAAATGACATCAATTTTTGTCTTCACTTTTTACTATCATCTCAAACATATTTCAAATGTTCGAATTAAATAAAACGATCTATAATTTCTTTTTTTTTTTCTTTTTACAACAGAAACCTGATACGATAATTTTTAATATTTCAATGTAACCAGAGAATAAAATGAAACTATAGGCATCTGTATAAATAAATTAGCGATATAATTTTCTCGTGAATTATTATTATCGTTATTAAAAGCAACATGGCGAAACGCGTTAGCCTTTATCGTCCAATAATCGTCGATCACGAAGTGTCGATGTAGACAAGTCCTCATTATCTCGATCGTTGTATCATCATAAAAGAATTTCCATCGATGGAACACAACTGTCATTATCGATGACTCCTTGATTCTTGTCATTGATCAAGCTCAGTATATATATAACTTCAACGGTTATCAGAATATTAAATTAACGTGAAAGATTAAATCAACATCGTTCGATAATCACATCAACTCATCTTCGTCCACAATTTCTATCTTTACTAAATATAAAATATAATAGACACAACAAATTGATGATTATAAATAAGCATAAAACTAAAACTAACCTCAAAACATAAGTAAAGTTACCAATAAACTACCTATCAACAATATAGCAAACTAAATCGCCATTTTAGGAATATATTTTTATCTACAATGTTCTTCTCTAGATTCAAAGATAAAATTCTGATCCCTTTAAACGTGAAGTTAACAAAAAAAAAAAAAAAACAAAGAACAGAATTTGAAAATTGCACCAGTCGATTTATGTTGTCGGATTGAGAGATTGGATTCCACCATTCTTCTTTGCTTGTTTTCTTTTTCTTTTTTTCTTTTTTTTTTTTTGCTGTTCTTTTTGTTTTCTTCATCCCTCTTTTTTGTCGAGGGATTAAAGAAGAGAGCGCCCTGTGCCGGGGGGATAAGCCGTAGAAAAGTGTGACTGCCGTTGGAGGTGGCCGCGGCGCGACGTTCTGCTGACAGATTACGCTGTGGTATGGTCTACCGTCTGTTACCAAAGCCGTCGGAAGAGAAAAAGGAACTGTGGCGAACCAAGGATGAGTTCGTTCGGGGCTGGATTAACTACTTACTGCCTCGTATACACGAATACACGGATACCCTGTCACTCACAAATATGCTAAATATACGAAATGTTTCATCTAACCGGAATAATACGAACTATCTTCCTTGATTATCATCATACGATTAACATTGCTTTTTTTCCTCTTTTTTTCAAACAAGTTATAATAATTTGATTTACATTGAATTTAGTTATTAATTATACTTAATAATAATAGTTAAAAGTGTTAAAAATAGTACCGTAGGTGTGGATTGCATTTTGCATCCCCCACAACCTACTGCCGACTATAGGCGGCATCAAAAAAAAATACTCCAGAGCCTACTGTAGACCACAGGCAGCATTCTAATTATTCTATGCAACTGTAAAAAGGTTTAAGGATTCTACCAATACCCGCTAGTGACAACCACGGATGGTTCTTTGGATGTAATTACTTTTTAAAAGAGTTCGCGTATTTTACTATTTTTTACTATTTTGTGTTTTAAATCCTTGTTCTACTTGTTCCATTACATTTGGTATCATTCAACAGCGTTTTTTAATATTATAGCCAATTCTATATTTATACGAACTGTTTTGTTTTAATATATTTAATATTTATATAGTATTATCAATTATAATCAAATGATAATATCAAATAACGATAAAAGAAAATTCACAATTGTGTTTAGAAATGGCATAAACTATAAACTAAGCAATCCTCTCAAGGTTTGTGGATGCATCGAAGCGTATAAACTAAAGAGGAGGGTCGCCACAATCTCGATAGATAGAAAGGATCGGAAATGCGTATAACAAGGCACAGAGAAAAGCAATGGATTCCTTTTATCGTTTCGACGTTCTCCGCTTCTTAACGATTCCACTTTCGCTCTTCCAAAGCATGCATATTTTATTCTAGGTTTGCTTGAGTACGCGATCTTATGCAAAAAGAAAAACGGAATGAATTAGGGGAATAGAAACTAAAGGAAACTAAACGGAGACAGAAATATATACATGGTGTTTCATAAATGTAATTCAATATTTCAATAAGGTACATCTATATACTTAATCAATTTAAAAAAGTATCATATAAACATATGCCCAATGAATCTTTGATGATTAAAAAAATTGTTCAAAGTGTTTCCAATTTTATGACTCAACCATACCTACAAAAATTTTACATTTTGTACCACTATATTATCCTGTACAAAGGA